ACCCAAATGGAATCTCAACCAATCGAATGGATAATGAATTTTGCCTGTTTCAACTTTGAGCAGATCACCAACTTTTCCTCACATCACTGCATCGAAATCCCCTAACTCTTCTCTTTGGTCCACTCAAATCTATCACATAGTCATCATACATTATTAGCGGGTATCTATTCATAACTGCTACTCTCACTGATTAACATTCACGGAAACGGACTAAGCCACAGTCGGCTTACGCTTGATCAAGTCCACTCGGAACGGCTACACACAAGACAATGCGAGCGATAACTGCAAGTTGGCCTTTAACGTAGAGCTTTCATCGCTTCTCACTCTAACCATCCGCCGAAGTACTCAGTGAACATTGTCAGCTAGTCAAATAAGTCATTCAAAGAATAAATGACAGATCTCGACCTCAGCTGCTTTGCGGAATCATTCCTGTATGTGCCATATATGACACAGAGGGCAAATCCCGTAAACGCCAGCTCATCACGAGCCTAAGGGATGACCACGAGAATTGGTGGGTACCTATATGTAGAGAGATGGAGAAGACTACGACCATTGATAACAGTCGCAGTCTGTTCCCTCCCAATAAGAGTACGGGTCCAAGGAAAGTAGGCGAGAGGTAATTGAAGAATCCGACAGAAAATTGATTCATATCCAGGAACACCATCTTCAGCGATGAGCGGAACATTTTAAAGCTTAGTCCAACTGGCCTCAATCAAGACGGGACCTATCACCCCGGCCTCAACTGGGCAACGACTGCCGGTTGATGTCAGTCCTCTGAAGTGGAAACCACTTGGGAAATAAGTTTTTTTTTCAAACGGTTTCCGGCCCAGATGGCCTAACTCGATCGGATTTTATGGATGAAGGTTACGCGTTGGTTTTTCAACTGAATGATGTGAATCAAAATCATCTTACTGATTTTTCAAGAAGTGCTGTAAATCCCTTTGTGAAAGCCATAGAGGAATTAGTTTAATCAGCGTCATCTCTAAGCTTCACACTGGCCTTATACGCTGTCGATTATCTGCCTCACACGGGAGAAACAGGCTTGTTTTAGACCTAGTTGCATAGACCACACTTTCACAGCCACCAAATGTATGGAGCGCAGAGATTCCTTTCCGAAACGCACTAATCTTGTTTTCCTTGATCTTCAAGTGAATTTCGACTTAGTTGTCCACCCGGTACCATGGTGCTGCCTCTTTTTTACAGGTATACCCGGGAAATTTGATGCACTATTGAAATCTATTTTTCTTTTTATCCCAAGCCGAGGTCTAGTTGATGGCTCTTTTTCCCGAGTTCATCGCTGATAACCGTGTTCTATTTTACTTCCTTTTCTGTTTGATTCCGAAAATCACTCTGTCCTCATTCGGCATTACCCTTATCAATATGCTCCCACATGTTAATTTGTCCGACCCGGAGTATGCGAAACGATACTGTACCATTTGTTGAAGATCCACAGAATTTTGAGACCTGTGTCTGTGGATCCGTCTGGAATGCAACGGATTTAATCACGTCACAACAACCTGAATTTTAGGTTAGTCGTCATTCGGCTATTTTCGAATCAGAATAACCCTTCACATCGCATGCACTTTTTGATAAACTAGTAGAGTCCATTAATCACACATTTAAGAGACACGTTTCTATTTGTACTATGCAAGCGACTTCAATCATTCTCCGCCCGATTCGTAATTGAAGTATTTCATCTATTTCCCTCGTTTCGCCCCAGGTGTTCTGTTCCGAGGCCCTGTGGACTGCTGTGAACGCTTGCGTGCAACTTTCCGGACGAGCCGGGCTAGAACAAACCAATCCGTTCAATCGATACCTGCGTGATTGTCGCAGTCTGTTATCCTATGCGGTATACCCTGTTTCTTTTCGTGTGTTTTGTATTATTTTACTCCTCCATCCAATTGTCCCGAATTTATGTTTGTTTGTTTGTTTTTTCTAACAGGGAACAAACGAGGTTTTGCGTCTTCGTTTAGCGGGATCCGGATTGCAGCACATAGCCCATGATGTGGATGAGAAACACAACAAGTTGTACGTCATGAACCGCCATCCTTGGCTGACGTTAAAAACGGTGATGGAAATGAGAGCTCGCAAACGGGGTCGTTATGCGAACCATGTGGGCGCGGGCCCCAAAGTAACCGAAGGTGGAGCGTCGCGCGCGTTAAAGAATCACTTGCATCCAAATTTTGCCAAAGTATCTACCGATTTGGCGATATTGGTTCAACGGTTTCAAAGTCTTTCGGAGGCCCTGCTAATCGCCCACGGTCAGGTGAGGGCTAATTCTTGTCGTCTGGTTGAAAAAGAATTGGGTTCTCTCAAGAGTTTCCGGTTTCTCGTGTCTCAAGCGTGCATTTTATGAATACAGAAAACAGCATCCCTTGTGTAAAAACCAGTTAAGCACTGATCCAATCTTTGGTTCATGTGGGATATCCCCATAGACCTTCTTTGAACTCATTTTATTGATTAATCAAACAACTGGGGAGTGTCGGCCCGCTGTGCGCTGAGAGTCTACTTTTTCGTTGAAACTCTATCGTGTTTAAAGTCTATCGTCGAGACGATAGAAAAATTTTACACCATATGAATTAACTGGCTGATATCTTCTCAGTTCATTCGATGTTTTCCTTCTTTAAGTTTAGACGACAACCTTCTTGCATTGGCAATTGAAGACATTAGTGATGAGTCTGGTGTTCACCAATCAGTAGTCGGTCGCTCTTTTTTTCTGTCTGTTTTACTCTGCTACCAAGTCAGTTTCCTTAAATTTTTACCTATTATTTTTTCCCTTCAGTTAAGAACACATCTGTCCACCATACCTCCTCCCGTCGTTTGATTTTTCGCCCACTATTCATAATGGTCCCATAATTTGCATCCAAATCGATAGACAGCTCGAAGCCACCTAGCCTAA